AGCTGTTCGCAGCCCATCGAGGCCAATTCCAAGGAAAGGAGGAAGCTGTTTCGTCCTCGCCTCTGCAGCGCCCATTCTGCAAATGACAGGCTATGCATAAGCCCTCAGCATGCTGATGCCTTCTTTTGGCTGTGCACCCAGAGCCGCTACGGCTGCAGAGCGATGCGCTCCCTCAGAGACTTCAAACTGTCCTGTGTTTCCCTGGGCCTGTGCACAAGTCAGGCAGAACTACGATCATTCACACTGGTCTCAACCTCTCTCTGACTTGTGCATCTCTTGCGCTTCGGCAAGGCCTTCTCGTGGAACACAAGACCCTGTGCCAGGTGAGCTCGGAAATCGGAGGCTTTTCCTCCTTTCGTGAGTGCATCGGCGACCTGATGCCTTGTAGGCACCCACAAAAGTTGTGCCTTGCAGTCACTTTCCCGAGTTGACAGAGCTTGACGCAACAACACAGCGTGGACGATGTTGCCCTTCTCGCTTACGTGTCTCCCGTCTTTGTGGATGGTATCATATATACTCTTACAATCCGTAACCAGGGTAGCGGGGGTAAGAGACTGCCAACCATCATCTTCAATCGCAGAGACAACGTCGGAACCGAAACGGATTTCAGAGAGCAAGACCTGACAGAATTTAGTCATACCTAACGCCATAACAGCCGCATGTGTTTCTGCGGCAAACGACGATTCGACGACCCTTCTGTTAGTGCTACTCTTCCAATCCAGCAAGTTGAAGTGAACACCGCCTTGTTGACTTTTGGTCATGCCCCTCTTAACGAGTCCTAACACGACACCTTTCTGAGAGTAGACTAGTTTCTTTTCGGTCCCTTGAAGGAGAAGGTCCTCGGCCTCCTGTTCTTCGAGCTCAACACCGACACTGTTGAACAGACCAGCATCATGATAGGTCACCAATTCCGCATCAAGACCAACATTCTTAAAGCAGATCTGAACCCTGTTACGAGTAGCTTCCTTCACAGCCCGGTTAGCCCTTAACAGGTCCTCTACCCTAAGATCCGTGATCCTCTTCTGGAGCTGGTTGACCTCAAATGCTAAATCTGGTCTCGATTGCGTCACAAGCCACTGAAGGCTCCCGACCACTGAGCGGTAGTCGGTCCTTTCTGTGTCTGTTGCGGGAGACTCCTTGTTGCGCTTGCGATCGGCTGCGAGCTCCATCGGCTGCAATCGGCCACTGACAAACCCGTCCTGGCTTAGGAGGATACAAGGCTCCCCGTCTTGCTGTCCCACTCTGATCTCCTTTCCGCAGTACGTCACACCTGCAGCTTGCTGGGCAACAGGAAGCCAAGTACCGAAAGGAAAACGCGTCTTCAGCCTGTCAGTAGCGTCTTGTCCGAAGCTTGTGCCGTCGTGGCAGAACATGAGATCGTCAACATGAACAATCAGGAGACCTCTAAGTTTGTAATGCTCATCTCGAAGCATGAACAACGCAGGATCAGTACATGATTGTTCGAAAGACAACTCTTTTTGAAGTATTCTAGAAAGTTCATCAAACCAAGCCCTAGGAGCGTCAGGCCTACCATAGACAGGTTTCAGAAGCTTCAAGATTTGTCCCTCGACCAAACCCTTCAAACCCTGTTTAGGTTGTTTCATGTACATCTCTTTCCCTTTTAGAGGTGCTCCCTGCAAGAAGGCGTTGCTGATATCGCCAATAAACCAATCGTGAAGCCACCCTGCACTGATGACATAATTGAGGAAAATCATTGTTGATACTCTCTCCACGGTTGGTGAATCGACTTGCAGCTCCCCAGACCTACTGTCTGGGCAAAGGTGTCCTTGCAGGCACAGACGAGCTTTAGCCTTCGTCGGAAGAGGTTTGCCCTGTTCGTCCACTAGTCCAGCATGTTTGTTTCTAAACACATACCTGCTTGGGAGCACGCGGTCAGGTTTCTCGGCTAAAACTTTCTTGCTTTGTTCAGGTGACAAGATTTCGCAGCTTTCGTACTGTTGCCAACTATCCCACTCCTTCTCTTCAGCAGCACGGTACAGTTCTCGTTCGTGGGGAGGGATCTTGTCAAACGGGATTTCTTTTTCCATCATTCTCCTAAGTTTGGTTTTGCTTTTGTTTCGATTGCTCTGAACACTGTTCACCTGATTCACTCTTCGTGTCTTGATAGCATGCGGAACATCATCAAGTGACATGTCTTTTCGAGTACGCCCACGGAAAACAGTAAGGAGGAGAGGAACAGGACCACCAGGAATCAGCCCGTGGGGGTCGGACAAGCTTATCCACTTTTCTTCCCGCTCCACACATTCCCAGCCCCCATTGACGTATGCCCAGGTTGTTCGATAGGGAAGCCTGTGAGCCTCAAATCTAGGTTCGGGTGTCCTGAAGGCCCAAGCTTTAGATGACACTAGAACTGGATTGCCATAGCCGTCGTCGTGCCATCCAGGAGTCTTGTCCAGCTGAATCAATTCAGCTGGCAGTCCTGACATATCGTCCTCAGGTTGAACGAGTTCATCGCCCAACTCTTCGGCAAAAGGTTGTTGGGTGATGTCTTCAGGGATATGTTCAGGATCAGGCTGTCCAGTCAAGTCTTCATACGTAGCCTCAGGGGGAACCTTTTTGAACAAAGACATGATTTTCTGGACTTCAGGGTTACCAAAATGTTGTTCATCACCCACAGCTTCGCGCAGGTGCTCTCCGGCAACTAGAAAGCATCTACCACTGCAAGCAACCCAAGCATTGTGACCCTGAACGCCAACCACGTACCCCGGACCAACCCACCTACTCTGACTTTCACGGTTCTTACTCCTTTCCTTTCGCCAAAAGAACACAAGCTGCCCCACTTGAGGATTGGTGATGCGACGGGTCCTGTGATGAACAGTCTTGGCTAACATCTGCCTGGCTTGACTCTTTGTGAACTCCAGCTTGGCATGATACCGGTATCGCATACGACTAGCTACATCACTCTGTGGCTCACCTACCTGGGGATGAAAGCTAGCAGGATTCCCTTCATGATAGAGTTCACCGAAGACTCTAGGCTCTCGCCCAAACACAAGAGCCACGGGGGACCAACCATGTTCCCGAACAAGGCTGTTCTTGGCCCAGCAGACCTCTCTTGCCAACGACCTAATCTCGTCCCGCCCTTTAGCTTGCGTGTGACGAATGGTAGCATGAAGCATGTCCTTGATGGTTTGATTATGCCGTTCCACCTTCCCTGCCTGCCAATGAGCAGTCCCTGCAATTGATGACAAGATGGTCCCCGCCTTACTCACCTTATCCCAAAAATCCCTGGACTGAAAACCTCCTTCACAATCCACAGTCACCCTGCTTGGAGGACCAGCCCACTTCCTCCAGCCTCTATCAAATGCCTTGTAAAGGTTAGTAGGTGAATGGTCGTGCAGCAGCTCAATCATGTGATAAGACGTCGCTCTATCAATGATTGACAAGAACCAATGACCAACCTTCTCGGCATCATGAACCTGAAAACAATCAAGCTGAACCTCATCCCCAAACACAAGTTGACAAGGTGGAATACTGGCGACACGATGGGAAGCTGGCTTAGCGGAGTGTGCACAGGATATACATCGAAGCCAGCCTACAGCCTCAACGACTTCTTGTTTGGCATTTCCCAACCTAAGAAATCTTTCCAAATCAGCCTTGCTAGGATGGCCGAGATTACAATGGATTTTCTTAAGGGCTTGCTGTATGGCTGGATCGAGTTTCCTACCCTTCGGCACTTCAAAAGTGATGCCATCGCTCGAAAGTCCTGATCTCATCCTTGCTTCGTGGTGCGCGTGATTGTTGCCCTCGAGGTCTAGCTCATCCTCGCAGGGACCAGTCATGGGAGCATCAGAAGCGGAGCCCGGTTGCTCCGCCACAAACACCACATTCCACGCTCTCAACGCTCTCTTTATGCTTTCTTCACTCCATCTCAACTCTTTTCGCTCAGATGGGCCGCGACTTCTATCATATCGCAGCCTCGCTGAAATCCTACGCAACATGAGCCTAATCCTACCTGGTTCCTTTTTCTTCAGGGTCTCCAAGAATCCTCGACAAATAGCCTGAGCCACCCCTTTGTTGCCATCGGGTCGTTTGGATGACCCAAGGCACGATCGGCGGAGATGATCATGATCCTGGGATTCCGCGGTGTTTTGTTTGGCAAGTTGCTCACAAATCTCTGCCGAGGTGGAAAACCACAGCGTCGTCCTGGAGAATGACACCGCATGATCACCTATGGCACTGTTTGCTTGGCTTTGTCGGGTTACCGCAGTGAAAACACGAGGATGTTGTATAACCCTCTTGATAGGATCGGTAGTGAATGCTGCACTACTCAACGGATTTTCGGCCACGGCGTCACCTCCATGCTCGAGCTGCGTGCTGAAAATGTTCTCACAAAGATGAAGGAATGGCAGGTCCCGTCTCCTCAACCTGGCCAACCTACGCTTTGCTTGTGGTGTGTTGTACTGGAGATTAGCCGAAGGTGACCACAGATGATTCGGGTAAGTAACAACGACCAGTCGGGGACGATGTTTCTTAATCCACTCAAGGAGCCACGTTCTACTGCTTTCGTCACTAGAGAAGTGACCACACTCTAAGTTCACTGGCTCTGCCGTCTGCCATCCCCACCTGGCCAATTGCTTGGAAACTGTTGCCTCCTCGGCACATACCTCGAGGCAGTCAGGACGGTTCATACAATTCGGTGGCACGGTGGACATACCGGCGCCGATCATCGCCACACTCGTAAGCATGACACCCGCCAACACACCCCTAACATTCCCCAACAACCTTCGAGCAACGCCCTTCTTCATGTAGGCCCTACGCGCTTTACCGCTAACGATCTTCTCCCGAATCTCGTTCCTCGAAGGCTTTGGTTGGCCAGAACATTGGGGCTCGCATTGGCTACCGGACTCACCTGTCAAGCTCACTCCGTGTCCTTGCAGCGCGCATCCCGTGCGCTCTCCATCTCGGCCTTGTTGCGCCGCATCTCCTTGATCATTTCCATCTCGTCCTCGCTCAAGTTGACATTGATGGCCTTGGCATCGGTCAGCTCGTCCGAATCGGTGTCGATCTGACGCCTTCCAGCATCCACCCACGTACCGTCCGATGCACTCGAGTACCCGCCTTGCTGAGGACTCAAACGCTTTGACACGGTTGGCCTCGGTGCTGGGGCCTTCTTCGCCATGCTGTCGCGCTTCGGCGCTGCTTTGTACTTGTCCTTGGCCTTGTCCGGCATCTCGGCTTGCACCTCCGCCGTCGGTCGTCCGTGGTATGTCCACGGGAGTGTTTGGCGGCATGCTGGGAACACCCTGCATCCCCAGAACGGCTCGCCGGTTAAGCGATTGTGCTTCTCGATCATGGGTATGGCGCACCGCTGACACATCGGGGCCTCGCTGTAGTCGTTGTCGACTGGCGGTGCATCGCGGTGTTCCTCCTTCATCTCGTTCACATAGTCCTCGAGCCGGGTGATGAGCTGGTACTTCTTCATCCGGCGCCAATGCCCATCGTCCTCTACTCCATATGTCGGCACAATCACTTCCGCATACAGGTCCCTCAGCGTCTCGATATCCCCCTTGCGCCATCCCGATGGAAGAAACTTCACCGTCTTGGGCTTGACCACTGACCAAATCTCGCGGAGCCTGTCCACGGTCATGCTGATGAGGTCCTCCCTGTTGACCTTTGTGCGGGAGACGATCAAGGCCACGAACTCGTCCTTCCTCCTCGGTGCCAATGTAGACATCGCTGCACTGGGATCCTCGATGAGCTTCTGCTGAGGCGTGTCCGTCACTCCCAGACGTGAGCCGAGATTGCGTCTGTGTTTTACACATGGGCTCATACGAAAAGCTATTTCTGTCTCTCGGTCTACTCTCAAGCGACTCTGGGTGCTCCGAAAGATCACACTCTAGCTCTTCCCCAAAGGTCCTGGATCGCTGCTGTTCCGGGCAACTCGGCATGAAGAACAACTCACCCTCATCGTCGACAATCTCTTCCCACGGCAAGTCGCCCTTGAACTCTGCGCCGTGGTAGTCTATTTCGAAACCACACAAACCCCCTGGAGTTCGCTTGAGCTCAAGCTCCACCTCGAGCTTTCCCAACTCCAGTTGGCCAGTACCGAGGTTCATGATGGCACCGAGCTCCTCCATGGCACTTCTGCTCAACAGCAAAGGCACCTCCTGATCCACGACACTGGCTCGGATGATCACCTGATGCTTGCTGCCTTTGAAGAAGGCAGGAAATATCACAGCATATCGTGACATAATGCGGGGCGCGCCTCCAAACCGGAAGGGACGTTCCTCATCCACAAGATACACTGGCAACCCTCGCCTAATCAACGATCTCATGCGCTTCCTTGCCCATTTTTCTCCTACCACGGTTCTTGCACAACATGTGTCGGCGAGGGCGAGGCGGTGATCCATGTCGTCGCCCGTCATGGTGGAGAAAACCGGGACATCAACCATGCACGCATCGAACGATTCCTCGCTCTCGGTGATGTCCTCCTCGGTCACGGCGAACACCGGCTTGTTCGCGTCCTTGGGCTTCTCCGCCTTTTGTCCATAATATGGGCACTCAGGGTCGCTGTGCCAGTGTCCATATGATGTTTTGCCCCGAGCTTTGCACGCTGAGCATGCCATACGACTCTTCATTTCTCGTATTCTCTGTGCCCTTTCGGCGGGGTTTTCCTCCTTGCTGAACCCTCGTGCTCGTTCCACCTGTGATCTTTTCCTCGCGGCTTGCGTGACAAGTACCTGGAGCTCGGCTTCGAGGTTGGCAAGGTCCTCGTCGGCATCCGGTGGTCCGTCCTCCTGATCATCAACCTCTTGGTCCACGGCGTTAACCTTATGAGCAGAGTGGCCGCTCTTCGGTTTCCAAGCCCGGCCTCCGCCATGTGATGCGGGTGGTGGATCGTCATGCGTTGTCTTGCTAACTTGTGGCACGATTGCAACCAAGGCCGCCCTGAGCTTCTCATAGTCATAGACGCCACCGGCCGCCGCGACGACCTGTTTGCGTAAATCTGCTGAGATGGCTGCCTTTTCGAGGAACCAAAATGCCTTGGTGATGCCTGACAACGATGCACCGATCTCGTCCAATCGCTTAAGCTGGGCCCTGAAGCTTGTGTCGAATGCCACAAATTCTTGCCCCCTAGCCCGCCGAAAGGTCTTGTAGAACTCCTCCAAAGTCTGGAACACTCGAAGAAATTCTAGAGGCTCTAGTTCTTGCCATAGGTGCTGAAGCAACTTTTCGACACCCTGTGCAGACTTCAACTGCTTCACATCAAGGGTCTCTGTGGCCTGCCAGGCTGCACCTGTCAATCGCTCCATGAGCTTTTGTGCCCGATATTCTGGGTCCACACCTGTACCCATTTCGAAGAGTCTGACCCTCCTTTGGTAGTCACGCATGGGGCCTGACCCGTCATACTCAGGCACATGCTCTTTTCCGGTCCGCGGCGCCTTGGATGATGTAGCCTGGCTGTTGCTTTCTTCATCCTCTGCCGAAGGAGTCGGCCCATGACCATCAGACCCCTCAAGTGGAGGCTCCGGCTCCACTGTGGAATCCGATTGTCTACGGTCTGTCGCACTCTCTCTCGATGAGGTCCCGGCCTCGGGGCCCCACGCGGTCCATGCCCAGCTTCCTCGATCAGTCGTCTCAGTGCCCTGCCACTGATAGGGCTGATCACCCCACACTGAGCCCTGCCATTTCCAGCTGCTATGCCATGCCGGCTGATTCCAGTAGGATGTGCTCCAACCCCACTGGTGACTATTGCCATGATTGCTGTACTCATCCCAAGCTGCCCACTGATCTGCCGTTCGGCCGCTGTCGCCTGCATGATCTGCTGGTTCTGCCATCGCTCACGGCAGCCAGCTCCGCGCAACCAATGCAAATGACAGGCTATGCATAAGCC